GGTTGTTCGAGTCAGACCCGGTTCCAACGTATCTCTGCCTCCTAGAATGCTAGCACCGCTTTCGCAATGTGTCGCTTAGACTAGGGTATTATTGGGACCAACCAACTTCTAGATCTGCGGCCGTGACACCCTCTCCTGCCCGAGAGCCGGCACCAACACAGATATCTTGTCTTCTTGGAGGGACAAAAGCCAATCAGGACTGCGACCAATCCAAGCCAGAACCCAGGTCGGGCTGCGCCCCTGAAAAGGTTTGCGAATGCCGGTTTGGGACTTGGTTTAAATAGCACCTTTATTTAGGCTTTATTGGTCGACTGATGACTCTTGAAAAAGAGTGCGTTCCTGGGACAATTGTGTGCACAGTGAAGTGAAGGCAGTGGAGAGAAGGCTCTTCGTCTTGGGTGGCATCAGTTGTGTCAGCATGATCTTAGCCAAGAGGCCGAGAAGCGATTTTGACAACCTTTTGACGACCTTTTTTTTAGGTCGACCAGATTAATTTTCCGAGCTCTCCTAAAACACTATAAAGACGCTCGCTATTCTGGCCAAATTTTCTGCTCCGCACGCATGTTTTAAAAAAAAAAAAAAACAGATCAAAAAAGCCGTTTTTGTGCACTTTTTGGAAAGTTTTGACAAAAAAATTGCGTTTTTTGGCGCGCGCTCCCCCTCAAAGTTAGAAGTTATTGGCGCCAAATTCACATAAATCATTTTCATTGGAGTAGAATTTTTTTGGATTAAATAAAATTTTTTGTCTCAATCCCCCTCCTCAAAAGAAAATTATTCAGAGGAGAATAATAAGTTAACCTCAATGAAACTTTTTTTGGCGTTCAAAATTAAATTATCAATTGAAACCTCAGTTCACTAGAAAAAAAGTAATTTCATTAATTTTGTCATGAATTTCCAAGTACTCTAGGAGAATTTAATTTCTTTTTTAGGACAATTTATGTACAACACTCAAGCTAGCACGATAATTTAGTAAATTCCAGTCAGTAAACACCCAGTCAATTTAAAAATCAAAAAGGTGTTTGCATTATAATTAAGTACTTTTGTTTACACTTCGAAAAAATGACGGAGTATTTGAGGTTGGGTTGTTTTTTTCTCCAGGCAAAACATGAATTTTCAGATTGCCATTTTGACAAAAATGACAATTGAAAACATTTGGATGCCCTGAACTCAACATTTAAAAAAACCATTCCACCTGAGATCAATTTTAAGAAAATGAAGGATTTAAGTTGACAATTAACCCCATTTTTCGTCAACTTGGAGCGTGTGCAGCGAAGTAAATCAACTGACCCAAACTGAATAAAGGCAGCTTTTTTTATTCCAATCAATTTGTTACAAGAACAGAAAGTATCACTTTTTACTTGACAATGCGAGAGGCAAAAAAACAGTGAGCAGAAAAAAAGCATCAAATGAAACAAAACATGATAAAAACATGTTCAGGTTAAAAAAGAACAGAGTGGTCAACTCAAATTTTAAATATTTTTTTGAGATACAAAGTGGGGAAATTGCGGACACTTCCGGCAAAAAAAAACGACAAAACAACAGCTTGAGTAGTTCACACTCCAGAATTAAATAGATTTCCTAACTAGCGTTTTATCTTGAAAAATTACGGGGATTTGAAGAAAAATTAATTTGACCAATTTGAAATAATTAACGCGCTTCTCAATTTATCAGTTTTAAATTAACGCACTGTTCCCGACTCAGAAGTCTTCCTAATTGGACTGCGGCAAGTTAGTTGGTTCATTTAACAAGCAACTAAACACATTAAAGGGCAGAGGAAACATTCAAGGTTTCGCCTTGATACGAGCAGTAGTAATTTTTTTTAAATTTAATTGCGTTTTTTTCTCCGCCATCACTTGTTTCTCTGATAAATGAATTCTGTTCGTGTTGAAAATAGGATGACAAAAGATGCAAATCTGAAGGTAGAAATGTGCTTATAAATTGTTTAATTTTGGTTGAGATACGTTTTATATATGAATTCTTGTTCCAAATTTTGAAATAAGTGATGGAATATATATTTTGTGCTCGGAATAATTTTTTTCTCCGGACATTCTTTGACTTATTAAATAACAACTTTTGACCGGATTTTTAAAAATCATTCAAAAGTATTATTGCCCTGAGCTCAAACTTAAAAAGATATTTCACTTTGATCTGTTTTCGTAAAGTTTTTGGAAAGTTCAGCGATTACCAATTGGGACAATTAATGCGCGATATATTTTATGGTTTTAACACGTAACCAGAGATTTAATCCGTCTTTGAAATCATTTCAAATTGAATTGAGGCATGCCATTTGATGTATTCTATATTTCGCTAAATGCTAAATAAATCACTTTACACTTAACATAACATGTGGAGCGATGATTTCAAAAAAAGTAAATTTTTTTCATGTTTTTCAGAAAATTTTATCATTTTTTGAAAAATTAGGACAACTCCGTAAAGTTTTTGGAAAGTTCAGCGATTACCAATTGGGACAATTAATGCGCGATAAATTTTATGGTTTTAACACGTAACCAGAGATTTAATCCGTCTTTGAAATCATTTCAAATTGAATTGAGGCATGTCATTTGATGTATTCTATATTTCGCTAAATGCTAAATAACTCACTTTACACTTAACATAACATGTGGAGCGATGATTTCAAAAAAAAGTAAATTTTTTTCATGTTTTTCAGAAAATTTTATCATTTTTTTGAAAAATTAGGACAACTCCATCAAACTTAAAAGATAGTCGGAAATTTCACGGACTTTTTCTGATATGAGCAGTCTTGTTGTTTAAAATGATAAATTCTTGTGCTCAAAGAAACTGTAAATGGAAACAAGTAAATGGCACTGACTGAAAACCTGACGCAATAAAGGCTCTTTTTAAACCTCATACTGGAGAAAAATTGTTCAAAATAGAAATACATTTTTTGTGTATCTGCACAAAAACTTTAACAAATGCATTCATTTCTCATTTTTTTGCTCAATCGATAGCCAAACTTACTGATTGTGCATTTTTTCCAGAATTTTAATCGCAATTGGTTTCTTTTGAAAGATAATTTTCTGACGTAATTCTTGTTTGTAACTTCTTCAAGATAATGATTTCTCCTCTAAAATAGTTTTCGATAAGCATCATAAAATCATTTGTTTGGTTATTCAACGTCATAATGAATTGAATTATGGCATGATGAACAAACTGACAGCTATGAACAAACTTATTTTTAATACTTGACATTGTAACATCATGTGTTTAGCCATAATAACACGTAAAACAACCAACAAATTGATATTTTGAAAAAAAGAGAGTGGAAAAGAGCAATTTATTTTTGATGCAAAACCGAAATACGAATTACTAAGCTCGTTCGGGAGAAAAACTTGCGCCGAAAATACTCTATGAAAGAAGTTGCCCCGCGGGTAAATAAATCAGTGTTCCATCAATTTTTGGTCTTTTTCGGTTATTTAGTTGCTCTTTTTTTCATACTTTTTTTCACTCTGTTCAAACGAACTTTTAGAGTTATTTGTTTTTTTTTAATCAGTTTCAAATAAATTGTCCTGTCATACCAGCACTGACAAACTTGAAATCGAAATCAGTTAAAATCGATTTTCATACAGATTAATATACTGTATAGAAATCGGTTTACGGTAGCTCATTTAGATACGTAAATCGATTTAGAATGGATAGAATGGATTTTTACTGTAGAAAAAAATAAATTTTATTGCATAAAAAATGGACTTAAATGCATTCTCGCAAGATGGTGAAAATCATCAAATTGTCAACAAAACTGATTTAACTTAAGCATTCTAGCTGTTTTTTCTGAGCTTGAGCAAATTTTTTTACTGAAGAAAGTCTCCATCAGAACTGCAGATAGCAAGAGTCACTCGAGGAGAGTTTTTTACCACTAATTATTGCGTTTATGGGATTCCCTTTAAACTGTGCTAACTAAGAGTTGCCGCAGTAATGAGAAGTAAGACTAAGGCAAAATGTTTTCAAATTTCATTTTCACTATCAACATTCTGGGCTAAATTTTGGTAAGCAAGTAACAAATAATTAAAAAAACTCAAATAGAAATTTATTTTTTGATGCAGAAAATTTGTTATCATCATATTATCACAAATTTGACTTTTGTTATCATCATAGTTTATTTTCAGGTCAAACATCAAAATTAAAAGTCGATTAAAAAGCAAACGTTAAATTTTATTTCCACTCTTTCTCTCTTTTTTGATAGTCTAGAAAATCTGATTATTATCTGTATATAGTCTGTATAAAATGATTATAGAAAAAAAGTCGTAAAAGTTTTATTTCAATCGATTTAAATAGATTTTTTTGTTTCTAAATACGAAAATGAAACACAAAGAGTTGACAAAAAAGATTTAAATCGACTTAGAATGGGTTGAAGTTGATTTTTAAGCTACATTTTTGTATCAAATTCAAATCAATTTTTTTTGCCTTCGCTTACATTATCTGTTTAAATCGATTGCATTCCATTTCTTGTCAGTTCAGGCAATCTTGTGTTCAAAGAAAACTATTATGAAAGTTTCTGGTTTTACTGAAGAACTATGTACTGTAATCATCTAATTAAAGAATATTATTAATGAAACTATAATAATAAAATGATGCCCCAAATTAAGTCACGCAAACTTTTCTCCCTTCCATTTCCAGAACATCTATGAAAGCAATTTAGTGAGCAATGAAAACTGCAACAATTTTCATGCGTCTCAATAGAATTTTAGTTTAGCTTTGAAGTATTTTTTCTAGTCATAATGATCAAATTAAACTCAAATAAATCACAAGGCTACTATATATTAGAATTTTAGAAAAAAATCATGTTATCTCGAAAAACTTAATATAGCGCTGATATACATCTAAGTATTAGTTGGACAAACAAATGGTGGTTTTGCGCTAGAATAAAGGGTGGTTTTGCCCTAGGGTACGTCAAATGTGGCATGATTGAGATGCGAGGGTTGGATTGGAGAGATCCGAATAAGCGTTACAATTAGTGAAGTTTGAATACCCTTGGTACATACTTGGCGAAGGTCATGATCATGGCTTCATTTCCCCTCCTATTCATGGCCTTCCACGTCTTTTGTAGGGTGAATCTCTCCCCGTGGGTGAGGGGTATGCGGGAGTCTATAGGCTGCAGGGCAATCGGAACCTCCGATACAGAAGGTGGGGGAGGCTCCTCTGAAACGAATTTTACGTTCCTTAGTTAGTATAAAGTTGGAATAAATCTAAACTATGGAAACGAGCTCAAAAAAGTACATTTGACTGGAGAGTTGGTGACATATTACGCATTATAACTACCATCGCGATTAGCAAGCGTTAGCAAATCAGAAAAAAAGAGACTTTTTTCAGGTTAACAACTTGATTTGAAATATCATTTGAATGATTGGGCACCTCGTGATGTTATGTTCAAATGCCTTAAAGTTTAATTAAATCTAAAAGACCACTGAACTGCTGGACTTTTTTCCACTCTTGCCCCACATTTCAAACTTTCAGTTTTTCAGTTGTCTTACGTGTTTTTATGTCTGAATGCGTGATTTTAGGATGAAAGATGTGAAGAATAAATTTGTTCACAATAGTTAGTGTCTTCATCATGCAAATTTTCATTACATTTCGACAACGTATTGAGTTTGTTTTTCAAAACTGAAAATCGAATGCACGGGGAAAGTTGAGAAAAAACCGTTTGTTATTAAAACGCTTTACAATTTATATCAAAACTCTTGATCAGGGGCCGATCTAGGATTTTCTTGAAGAAGGAGGGGCCTCTAAAAAAGTTTGAAAATTTTGTCGACCTTTTTTTTTAGGTAGACCAAATTGATTTTCTGAGCTCGCCCAAATCATAATGAATAAATAAATACCCCATTTTGACTAAATTTTCTGCGCCGCAGGCAAAATTTTGAACAAACAGGCCAATAATAGCGTTTTTAGGCACTTTTGGGAAAACTTCGACCAAAAAACCGCGTTTTTTTCGGCGCGCGCTCCCCCTCTCAAATTTTCAGGCTCCGTCAGACAAAAAAGGATATCTCAAAATAGTACAAAGTGGGACCATTTGGGTCGGCAGGGGGTCGATTCCTGAGGGGAGGAAGCGTCCGCCCGCCATATCCCCCGCTGGTACTCTTGATACTGAAGATTTTCTTGGAAAAGTTCAATTTTCGTTCTTATACATCTGCTTAGTTTTTGTCAGCTTAGTTTGCACAGCATAAACTTTATTCAAGTTCAAGTTACTTTTACTAAATTACGAAAGAGTTTCGATTTATTCCTGTAATTTTTAATTTTAAAAGATCCGATTTTCCATAAATTCTTGTTCAACTTTTTTTTTGCTTCAAAAGTTTATTCTTCTTGTATCTTAACTATTTTCAACCGATGTTGTCAAATGAGTAAATTACATTTTTGGAAGGTAGTTTTTAAAACAAAATTCAGGCAGATGATGAAAAAAAGATATTCCACTATTTTGTGTTCACCTTGAAGTGGAAAGGATCTAGCAACCGGAAGTATGACCTGGGGTGTTTTTTTTTCCACGAAAAATCCGGCGCTAAAATAAAAAAATTCATGAGAGAAAATGACGCATCCTTGTACAAGCTTTTCAGACGTGAATTGGAATCCGTAATCCAATCAGATACTCATTGTCGAGAAAAACCAGTCTGTACGCGTATTATTTAGAATAATTTCACATGTTGCCCTACAAAAAAAAATTATTCCTTTTGTTACGCTGAGGTGCTCAATTTTTTTTTTATGCAGGACTGAGGTGCTCAGCTCATGAGATGACCGGAACAGTCAAACGATGTTTGGTTTTCGACTCAAATTGAAACGGTCGAACGAAGGCTCCGGTCAAATCAAATTGAAATCATGGGTCAAACAGGGTCGAATCATGACTCGAACAGCGTCTAATCAAGGGTCGAACAAAATCAAACCATGGGTCAAACAAAATCGAGGCATAAATAGACAAGCTTAGATCAACCTGGTTACACCAGCTTACTCCATTTTTTTTGGTTTCGCTTGATTTCAAAAATCATTTGAAACATTTCTAAAAACAAAATCTCAAAATTTAAATTATCTTTTCACTTTTTGGAACATTCGAACAAGAGTTATAGAGAAATTTAGAAAAAACAATTCAAACTCAGGAAAAACTTTTGTGGTAGATGAAAAATAGTTCATCATTTAAGTTAAGAACGTGAAAAAATGTGCATATCTTGCGGTGGGAGAAACCTAAAATGGTCGAAATGATTGAAAACTCAAAAAATTTCTAAATCGGATCTGTCACTTTCAATTGAAAGCATAATTTATAAACAATATAGTCCAGCAAAATAGATCGATGTCCCGTAAATCAAGTTAAACTGAACAAAATTGAAAAAACTCCTGTAAGTAGAACGACGTCTAGGAAAAAAGAACGAAATCGATCAACGTTTCTTTTCAATGACCGGCAAAGCCCAACAAAGTCGAAAGCTGGCATTCACTGACCAAAAAGTGGCAACCGGAAACGTAATTTCGGTCTAATCGTTATTCCAGCACTGCGCCACCCCAATAAACACCTGACCGAAAATTCGTACCAGGCAAAAATTTTTTACAGTAAAATAGGTGCAAAAACTGAATCACGAGCCTTTCGTGTCGAACGTAAGCGCAGCGGAGCGTAATGGAACAATCGATTGCAACTTGCTAATGCCTTGCTACGAATTGTCGCTGGTTACAATTTTTCGCCTATTTGTTTTTAGTTTTCGCCAAAAGTGAAAAATCACCTGTTACAATTTCCAGCTTACAATCAAATTCTACTACTAATTTCATCTTTATTCAGGCTTATTGTTCCGACTTTCCAAGAAATGCGGAATTTTTATGCTTGGGGTGGTTGTATTTCATTTAGACATTTTTGCCTATCTAAATAATATTTTTTAACAAACATATTTTTTACACCAATGAAGATGTCCACTCTCTGAGTTTAACTGTAAAAAGATGTTTTGCCTCCGATCATGATTTTGTAAATCTCTGGGGGTCTAAAAATTGTCAGTTTGGTCATGCGTTGAACTAATTTATAAGCGCTGTGAAGACTTCAAATAGGATGCAGAAAATCTAATGCGATTTATTTATGCGCAGCAAATTACCCCGCATAAGGAAATTGTTCCAAAATAAATTGAGGCAAACTAATTTTGGTCGCAATAAAAAATTGGACTTATGATATTGTCCAAAACGTATGTTTTAAAAAAAAAAAACATTTACCAACAACAGTTTGATACCAGTTAAGGGGTATTTGGAACAATCAAGACCTAAAAGTGTCAGAAAAGTATAAAAAATACATTCTCAAGAAACTTACGAGAAATAATTCCAAAACTCTGATTGTTTCCGTTTTTCAGTATTTTTCTTGACACAATTTAGAACGATCTATATTTAAAGCAGCACATTCAAATTGCACAACCAGCTTTCAAATGTCATAGGTACAAATAATTAATCTGGGATCAGAATTTTGAGTAATCATTTATGTCACTTTTTCAGATAAATTAACAAACTTTTTTCTAACTCGAAAATAGATTTGAGCACTGTTGCGAAAAGTTATGAAGTCATTAACTCGTCATCTGTTTTCAGCGCCGATAAGAAACACTTTGGCAAACATTGTGGGGTTTTCGAGCAAACGAGTAGTGTGAGATCGTGTTAAAGTACCTGACTGTTGAAAGAGCCAAGGGTATCGAGCATTGAATTATCAAGTCTCAAAAGATGTCACAAATAGTCGAATTTTCAATCAAGCTTTCAATTTTTTTATAAACTTCCCTTCAAAAATTAGGTTTCATTATTTTGAAATATCAGCTTTCAAAACATGTCACAAATGGTCGCATTTTCAATCAAACGTTCAAGTTTTCTAAACCTTTTCTTCGAAAATCATTGATTTTTATCTTGGGAAAAAACTTGCGCACATGGTGCTTTTCTATGTGATGAGACGCACCTTAAGCAAAACTTGTATCAAAGTTGTTTCCGTATTGCTTTGGTTTCCGAGAATATATTTCAAAAAATTCTCGGAGTTTCCAGAAAAATTATTCGAAATTTTTTTTGTTTTTATCAGGCAGTATCAACAATGGCTGAAATTTAATCCTTAATTCGAAAAAACTCTTTTATTGCTATTGCAACAGTATTCGAAGAGTTCAAAAATAGGTTTGAGCCAAAACATATCTTTTTGAACAAATTTGCCATTTTGAATAACGCTATTTAAATATTGTTCAAAATATTGCTCAATTTTTTTAAATGACTTATGTAAAGGTCTATGGTCTATTGGTTCAAAAGTGGGGTCATTTTATGTCACACATTTTTGAAAATTTATTAAATAGCGTTTTAAATAAACTTTATGTCACTTTTTTGCTATGAATTTTGTCCAAGATTATTTGTATTCAGAATTGGTTGTTCACATATGTTAGGAATTCGATTGAGACTTCTTTCGGGTATGAACAAACTTTGTTTGGGACTTCTTTTGACTATGTTCCGACTTCGGCTGGTATTTAACCCCGGCCTAAGATATCAGCACCGCTATCCTAAATACTCGACTTCGAACCGGCAAATTCTTCTTCAAAACTACCCGTAATTTTCCGACAAAAAGTTGATTGTTAAAATGTCTATGGTTTTGCTCTGTTTTAAGGCTAGGTTTCTTTTATTGCGCTTGCGGGGGCAGATCTAGGGTTTCTCAAGGGGGATTTTCCAAACAATTTTGAATTTTTTAGTCGACCAATTTGATTCTCTGAGCTCTCCCAAATGCTTATAAAGACTTTTTTGACCAATCTTTCTGCTCCGCGGGCAAATTTTTCAGCTAAAGTCACACTAAGAACAGAAAAAGTATTTTAATAAGCTTTCATAAGTTACCTGAAATTAATTTGCATGCTCACCCCATCAAAAAGAACAATGAACATTCTTAAATAATTCTTATTGTTTTTGCAAAACCGTTTTGATGTTACAGTAATTCAATTTTTTTCAACTGTTGGAAAAACTGAAATTGCATGCATACTCCACTAAAAACAAAAAAAATGCTTATAAGAAAAAGGGTTTTTGTTTTTCATACATGTTTGTGTTCAAACGTATCTATGCTTTGATGAGAAAATTGTTAAGGAAATGAACTTAAAAAATTAATTGCTTTATCTAATTTTAAACCCTATTGTTTTCCTTTTCACGGAAGGAAATTACAATCAATTTTTTGAACGAAAAGCTGCATGAAAAATAAAAATTATTGCTAAATATACATGAAACTAAATGACTCTATGATACAGATATACACGATTTGTTGAGAACTTGAAACACATCTAAGCAATCTTACGAATAAACCAACCAATGATTTCAGATTCAAAGGCAATAAAATCAAACAAGACTGCTCGTATCAGGGCGAAGCCCTGAATGTTCCGACTACCTTTTAAGGTTTACGGAGCAGTAGTAACATTTAAAAATTAAAAATGTAATAAAACAAAAAGAAAAAAAATTCTAAAATTTAAAATTTTATAATGAAAATCATCCCCCCACACGCCATATGAAGTACAAAAGGATAGATTTCACTCCTTGTAACAAACCATTTATGGCAAATAAGCTTCTTTCAACCAATTTGGAACGATTTATAAGACGGATTAAATCTCCGCTAATGCGTTAATAGCGCGAAATAAATCGCGCTTTAATTGTCCCAAACTGGCCAAAATGGCAATGCTTAAACCCCCGTAACCCCCGTAAAATTTCGTCAAAAATGGCTAGTTAAAAAGTCGAAATTTGTCTGAAGAAAAAAAAACCCACCCCGAGCACAAATATTCCGTTACTTTCGTATCGAAAGTCGGAACAATGAAATTCAAAACACGTATTAATGAAACAAACTTCTATTACTGAATACAACCTTGTTATCTTGAATAAAACACTGCTTAAAGAACTAGCAAAAATTAGTTTCTCTGTTCAGCAAGTCGCGAAGAAAAATCAAAACTCAAAATAGTTTTGAATTGGAAAATAAACATAGCTAAAAGTAAAGCAAAAACTTGTTAATTTTAAAAGCCCAATTCGAAGTAGTCTTGACGAAATTTTACCAAAATTTTTCAATTTTGAGATGAAAGGCGCGAAATTAAACAAAAAAATGAAATAGACTTGAAAAAAAAATTGTGAAAGTGCTAAGAAGCAAAAAAAATTACTGATTTAGCAAAAAACTTGTATTAACGGCAACCGAATCAAAATCAAACGGATCGCAAGAACCTTGTTGAAATTTTGCCACGAGAGACAAAAAATACATTAAAAGAATAAATTCGTCAACATCGTGAAGAAAATCAAAATCAAAAACATTGACAATCATTACATACTAAGCAATATGTCACCGAAAACGCTAAATAAAAACAATTACCTGGCGCCCAAGTTATTTAAAACAGTAAGAACGGAATTTAATTCCAAAAAAAGATAATTGTGTTCAATTAAGGCGTTTTCTATGAAGTAACTAATAAAAAATACAATGAACGCATTAAATTTTCACAATAAATCTCACAGCTTCGACGGACTCTCAACAATATCAGCTGGCAGAAAAAAACTAAGTTCAAAATAGTTTTGACAAAATCTAACCAAATTATGAAATGAATGGCACAAAATAAAAGAAAAATACTGGAAAAAGCCAATTAGTCTGATGCAATACCCATGCCTATCGCAAGGGTAAACATGAAATAGGTTTGAAAAAAAAATGTGAAAGTGCTAAGAAGCAGAAATCATACAAGCTTTTACAGATTTAGCCAAAAACTTCTATAAACGGCAAAAAAATCAAAACCAAGGTGATGGTAAGAAACTTTCGGACAATTCGCCACGAGAGACAAAAAATACCAAAAAACAATTAATTTCGTCGACATCGTGAAGTAAACCAAGAAAAAAATTAATGATAATCAACATATACCGAGCAATATTACCTAAAACGCTAAGTGAAATCAAAACGGTGATCAAATCTTGCGTTCCCTTTGAAGTAAAGTAGCAAATGAAGAATACGATGCAATCATTAAACTTTGTCATAAAGTTTCAGATATTATAGGGATTCTCAAAATTTTCAGTATGCAGAAAAAAATGCAATCTTGACTATTGCAATATTTTGACAAAGAAACTTCTCCAGAGTGTTTAAAGCTTAAAAAAGCATGCAGAAAGAAAAACATTAAAATTATCTATAAAGTTTTTGAACAATATCGCGTCTACCAATGTTTGAAAAAGTTTCCCAAAAAAGTTGATATGAAGGATTGTAAACTTTATCCAAAATTCGTTTTCTTTTTTTTTTTACGGTAAATCTACCGTAACCAAAAGGCCTCACAAAGCAACAGTCTATTGCTCTGCAAGTAACACAAAATGCTCACATCATGATAGTTTTAGACTGAAAATTTAAAACTAAGACGCAAAATAAAAAATCTTTACAAAAAACTGAACTTCAAATAACTATCGATTTTGTTCTAAATTTCTTGCTGGTTTTTTAAAAAGCAACTGTGATAGAAAATTGCAGAACTAGAGGTTATCCTAGCTGAATTAACATATAAAAAGAGTAAAAGTCGATTTCAGTCACAACAGTTTGTTAAAAAATCAATTTGATAGGTCTTCTAACCCTTCTTCTTCTTTTTAAATGGCATCTCCTTTCTTGGTTGAATCCAGAGACGATTTTAATTTTTGCCAGACGCTTGTTTGGTGTCAAAATAACGGGTAAATGATGATTTAAAACAGTTTGTCAGCTATCGATTTGTTTGAATTTTACATAATGAAGACTGTTAACAAGTTAAAGCTAGATGAAATGGATGAACAAACATAGGAGCAAATTTGTTATTTAAAAAAAAATCGGACTCTAAGTTTCCCTTTCAAACTCTTCTGTTATAACTTCCTTGCAGGGGAATAACTCTAATTTACAGGTAATATAGAGGAAGAGAGTTCAACTATTGAAATTGCAATAACAGTCGAAATTGAGTAAGTTTCAGTCAAAACCATTGCTGCAGTTTGCGGTCGATACATGGAAGGAAAACGCGCTTTTATGAAACACAATAACATCAAGTATGAATGATATATTATATTTAAAAACAACGCTTCCTGAATAAGGAGCTTTTTGCTGATTTTGTGACGTTTAAATTTATTTTTTTTCGAAAACAAAAGAATTTGTAGGAATTTTTCGTTTGATTTTGGGTGTGTTTATAGGGGCTCGTAAGAACGAATGATAATGGAATTTTGGTAATTGAAAAGCGATAGATTCAGATTCTCAGCAATATGCAAAATGGTTTTTAGTATGCATAGGGGCGGGGGAAATCAGTGGTGATTTGCTTATGGGTTTTAATCCATTTCGAGCGTGAAAAGCGGAGACAAAACCACTTGACTGTTCAAAGATAAAGATGCTTAAATTGCTTTCCAATTCAGAAAAATGGAAGCTTTTGAAGAATAATGGCTTTAGTGTGGTGATTCAAAGAGACATTACCAAACTGCTCGAAGTGAGGGGACTGAAAATGGCGCAACGTAATTGAATAATGGTGATTAAAAGCTGGTTGCGGGCAAATTGACAGCCAAACTTAAGAGGAATGCGGCTGAATAACTGTTATAGCACTAGAAAACTTGGTAATTATCACAATCTCCTTATAAGGCGATTTGACAAGAAACAACAATTGCTCGATATAAACAGAATCGTCATAAATTTAAAAAAGTCACCTTTTTATAGTGAATCGAAAATTTGTATAGCATTGGTTTTTAATGGCATTCAAAGGTGGTGTTGAAATTTGAAGTTTTGTTTTGACTTATTTTAGGAGTTTCGTAAAAAAAAATTGAAATTCAATCAACATCTACATCTCAAATAGATTGATTTGCGCTGAAAATTGTATGACGCTTCTGTAAAGACAGGAATGTAATCGCAGGGCTTCAATAGGCAGGGGAGTTGATTGGAAACAGCGGTTGGCTGAAGTTATACCATCAAGCGATGGTACTATTCTACTATAGTAATAGTAGCAGCAGTTTCAAAGGTAGGCCAAAAATACATGATTGCCTATCTATACATGGTTTGTATTTGGAGGTTAAAAAGAAATACTGTACTATATACTAACGAAGCTAAATGCAGTAGCTCAGGTTTTTTCAGCCATGGCTTGTGTCGCGTTTATTCAATTATATATTTTGGTCCATCAATGAATGGCAAACTCCACGTGAAAACACGAATGATCAGATATGGATTTGAAATTACTTCAGCTTCGATTATTTCATTTCAGCAGAAAAGACTCTTGCCTCCTATAAAAAGCTCTGCCGTTATATACACAGAAGCAGAGTAGTGTTTAAGTGTTTTATGTCTCAGTGCTCTCGCTTTTACCACCCTCGGGAAAAAAGAGGGAAATATATATTTTTTAACAAGGGGAGAATGGCGATGAAAATATACTTGCCACTTGTGTACCAATACAAACATATGTATATTTCAACCAAAAATGCAACATCAAAATATCGCGGCGTTGTGGGAAAGAAAGCTCAGTTCAGGCCATTTAGCCGAAAGCTTTTAGAGAAGAAAAATAGCAATGCAATGAAACCATCCAGCGATATGCTTTAAGCAACTAGATTTAAAAAAAAAACAGAATCTAGGTAGCTGCTAAAATGTAGCAAATATTTTTTGCTTGGCCGTTAGCTTGGTTTTTAGTTGCCAATATACAATAATATTGAAAGCGCGCTCCGTAAAAATTTCAATGTTGTCAAACAAAACCCCTTGGGCAATAAAGCCCAAAACAATTTTTTTCTCTAAGTCAGAAAAAAAACATGATACACTAGAAATATAAAATGCTTATGGTAGCAATTTTGTGAGCGCGCATAATTCAAATCGCTGTTAGAATGAGCCTTTTTCCTTTTCGCTTATTAATAAAAAAATAAAAATAATGACTTGGCTGCCGTTTTTTGTCGGCTACATTTTATTTAACCCAAAAAAGTCATTTTCAGTTGTTTTGAGCTTAAATAGCGAGCGTCAGGATTCTAGTTAGAAATGAGGCTAGTTTCAATTTCCGGGAAGCGGAAAAACAGATTACTTTCAATTCTCAGTTTTATTCGTTTGAAGGCAGTGAAAATAGGGCCCCGTAACCCTGTCATTTGGGAAATTGTTTGATAAGACACTTTGATATTGTCTTTTTCCCCGACCATTTCTTTTCTTGGTGGCACTTCACGGGAAAAAGTACAATACTCATCAATCTAATTTTATCTCTTGTGAAACCTGAACTACTCTCACAATTTTGCCCGACTGTGCCGGGTTGGTATCTAGTCTAATTTAAATGGATTTCCCGTGTCTGTAACTTTCATTAAATTTCTTCCTTTCGAAAAATGAACAAACTTAAATAAGGCGCCATTTTTCACGCAGAGCTCAACGCAACAAACTGTAGATTGAACCGTTTTCAACAGAAGACTAAATCCCTTGCGTCATGCCATCACCATGGTTTTTAAATAAAAACAGTTAACTACACCTTGAAAAAAAGCAATCAATGAACCCTGAATGAGGCATGTTTTTGTTCTGACGCAAAAGGAAAAAAATTGATTTTCATGTCGTCCTCCTTGAAAGAAAAATACTTGCTATACAATAATTTTAGATAGAAAACGATGATAAAAAGATATATTTTCAAGCTGTCGAAACAGCTCTTAAAAGAATACATTAGAAGTGAATACATTATTTTAAGCTTTTTGAGAGGTTTTTAATGTTTGTTTACAAAACTTATTACAAAATTTAAACAAAAATGCTAGTCATAATTTTCTCGATAAAAATTGTCTGATAGCATTTGTTTGTCACATGCTTTCATTTTTTCTTCCGAACAGTGTCAGGTTTTCTCAAGCTGAGTGTATTTTGTAAAAAAAAAATTAAATTTTTTTTTGCAATTCTTTTCAGGTCGACCAAATTCAATTTCCGAGGTGATTCAAAAAGCACTATAAATCTTTTTTATGCCAAATTTTTATGCACCTTGGCGAAACTTAAAAGCAACCAAGGTTTTCACACAACCAAGTTTTTCGATTGAAATCTTAAATTTAAAAGTGGAAGGGTAGTTTTTGAGAAAAGACGGAAAGTTTCCAAAAACTGTCAACATTTTGAGCACCAAAAAACGGTAGCCGCTTTTACAGGGAAGTTTTCCACAAGCAGTTGTTTTGACTGAAACCTTGATTTGGCAGGGTAGTTTTCGAGAAAAGTTAAAAGAAAGTAGACATTTTAAAGGCCAAGTTATTTTTAGTACAAAAATGAGGGTGTAGTTGCTTACGCCGAGAGAGTTTCCCCAATATGATCGCTCGATTGAACTTTTAACTCCAAATTTAGAGAGAGTTTATTTTAGAAAAGTCAAAAAAATCACAAAACTGTAAGATTGTCGTAAAATTGCCTTTCCGAGGCCAGAATTTTTTCTATAGAAATTGGGACGTAGCTAGTTACGCAAAGAAACAATTAACAACTCATTTTTTTTATTGAACCGTTAATATTAATTTTGTAGGGTACTTTTTTGAGAAAGGCAAATCGTTAAAAAAACGAGCAAAATATGCCTTAACTTTGAGGCCATAACTTTGTTCTTTATAAAAACACACACAACACCTGCGAATGCAGGGAAAATTCCGCTATCTGTCCTCTCTATTGAATCATTGATCTCAAAATTGGCCCAATTGTTTGGAGATTAATAATTTCAGCTCGGAACTTTTCGAGAAAATCTTTATTTACTATTTTTTTATTAATAAAGTTTTTGAATGACGAGGAAAGTATACAGGCACGCAAAGTAGTATCCGGTCACTCCATTGGTACCACTGTTCTGATAATTGATAAATAGCTGTGAAGATATTGTTTTTAGGAAAAAATAAAAAAGTTTCCGAAGCGTCAAGTAAAACTTGCTATACAATAAATTTAGAAGAAACAAAAACATGATAAAAAGAATTATTTTCAAGTTGTCGAAACAGCTCTTAAAAGAATACATTATTTTAAGCTTTTTGAGAGGTTTTTAATGTTTTTTTTACAAAACTTATTTAAAAATTTAAGCAAAAAATGCTAGTCATAATTTTCTCGATATAAACTGTCTGATAGCATTTCTTTGTCAGAGGTTTTCATTTTTTCTTCCAACCAATGTCAAGTTTTCTCAAGTTGAGTGTATTTAGAAAAAAATTAAAAATTTTTTACAATTCTTTTAAGGTCGACCAAATTCAATTTCCGAGGTGATTCAAAAAACACTATAAAACTTTGTTATGCCAAGTTTTTATGCACCTTGACGAAACTTAAAAGCAACCAAGGTTTTCACACAACCAAGTTTTTCGATTGAAATCTTGAACCTAAAAGTAGAAGGGTAGTTTTTGAGAAAAGACGGAAAGTTTCCAAAAACTGTCAACATTTTGAGCACCAAAAAACGGTAGCCGCTTTTCCAGGGAAGTTTTCCATAAGCAGTTGTTTTGACTGAAACCTTGATTTGGAAGGTTCGTTTTCGAGAAAAATTAAAAGAAAGTAGACATTTTAAAGGCCACATTATTTTTAGTACAAAAATGAGGGTGTAGTTGCTTACGCTGAGAGAGTTTCCACAATATGATCCCTCGACTGATCCTTTAACCCCAGTTTATCTAAAATTATAGTATAGCAAATTTTACGTGACGCTTCGGAATTTTTATTTTCATAAAAACAATATTTTTTACAGCTATTTATCAATAATCAGTACAGTGGTACAAATGGAGTGACCGGATACTACTTTGCGTGCCTGCATACTTTCCTCGTCGTTCGAAAATTTCAAAAATGGAAAAGTTTTAAAGATTTTCTCGAAAAGTTCCGAGCTGAAATTAATAATCTCCAAACAATTGGGCCAAATTTGAGATCAATGATTCAATAGAGAGAACAGATAGAGGAATTTCCCATGCATACGCAGGGGTGGTCTATTTTTTTTATAAATAGCAAAGTTATGGCCTCAAAGACATATTTTGCTCATTTCTTTTAATGATTTGCCTTTCTCAGAAAAGTACCCTACAAATTTAATGTTAACGGTTCAATAAAGAAAAAATTTGTTATTAATTGTTTCCTTGCGTAACTAACTACGTCCCAATTTCTATAGAAAAAAATCAAAATTAAAAATTAAACCGTTAATATTAAATTTGTAAAGTGTTTTTTGAGAAAGGCAAATCGTTAAAAAACGAGCAAAATATGTCCTAACTTCGAGGCCATAACTTTGTTCTTTATAGAAAATAGACCACATCTGCTTATGCAGGGGAAGTTCCTCTATCTATTCTCTCTATTGTATCATTGATCTCAAATTTGGCCCAATTGTTTGGAGATTATTAATTTCAGCTCGGAATTTTTTGTGAAAACCTTTAAAAAATTTCCTTTATTAAAGTTTCCGAATGACGAGGAAATTATGCAGGCACGCAAAGTAGTATCCGGTCACTCGATCGGTACCACTGTTCTGATTATTGATAAATAGCTATAAAAAAAATTGTTTTTACGAAAAAAGAAAAATTTTTCAAAGCGTCACGTAAAACTTTTTCAAAAAATATATTAAAAAAAAAAAATCCCGTGCATTTCATTTATCAAACAGGAGTTTTTTTAACAAACGGGAACATTTTAAATATATATATGTTAATATGTATATATCTTATGAATTTTCATATATTTTTAGGTACTTTCGGTAAGATAACAGTATTTGGTTAACTCTTTCATAATTGCAAAGCCTCCTGTAGTTTTCAGTCCATTGTATAGAAACTTTCTCGTTAGCAACTTTTTTCGTGCGATTCGGTTTTTTTTCTACCAAATCACCAAACAAAATAAATTTCAAGAGCGATCAAACGATATACTAATTTCTATTTCTTTCATACCTGGTTGAAGCGGTATTAAACATTTCGCACCATTTTCGCAGTTTTCTACAAAACGTTCAAAAAAAATTGTTTTCGTTTAAAAATATGGCATGGGGACAAATGTCAATTACTAATTACGTACACCATTTGAAGTAGGCTCAAAACTAAATATTTTTCGATCTGGTCGATTTTCAAAAAAAATTATTTGTTAGACGTATGGGCCTTTCCAGTGTTCTTTGCTGAAGAATTCAGGCTTTTATATATAGCTTACAAAAATTTATATATAGATTTTATATATAGCTTATATATAGCTTACATATATCTATCGCAACAGTAACGATTTAAAACTAAATTTTCAGTTCGCAGTTTAATTACCAGCTTTTTGCTCTACTCGCTGGCTTTATTCGCTCTTATTGTGGACTGAAAATAAAAATTGCAAACCGTTATTTGTTTCACTTTGAATCGTTTCATTCAAATTAGATGAAAAAAGATAAATCGACTTTTTTGTGATGAAAAATTCAATCAACTTCATTACCACTGACGTCA